TCAGCAGGATTTACTTTAAAAGCAGTGCTTCCTCTTTAAAACCTGATACAGCTGAACGAGCAACCATTTAAAATATAGCCTACTTCACTGCATCATTTCTGCGACGTAATCCCAGGTATTGAAATACTAAAACATGGTGGCTATCCCATCGTCGAACAACTGACGACTCTCCTAAATACATGCTGGGCAACAGCTCAAGTCCCAGAGGATTGGCAAAGAGGAGTCATCATCAAACTCCCAAAGAAAGGACATCTCGCTGTTTGCAACAACTGGAGAGGGATCACGCTCCTATCCGTTCCTGGAAAGGTATTCTGCATCGTCCTTCTACGGCGCCTAAGAGAAGCAGTTGACAAGAAGCTTCGAGAAGAACAAGCTGGATTTCGTTGTGGTCGATCCTGCAATGACCAAATCTTTACTCTATGGAACATCATCGAACAGAGTTTGGAATTTCAGCAACGACTATACATCAATTTTATCGACTTTGTCAAGGCGTTTGACAGCGTGGACCGAGAATCGCTGTGGTGCATTGCTCGTGACTTTGGCATACCCGAGCGCTTCGTCAACATGTTTTGGAACCTATACTACAAGTCAAGCTGCTGCGTGCGAACTGAAACAGGAAACACCGATTTCTTTACCATCAAGACTGGTGTACGACAGGGGTGCATTCTGTCCCCCCTCCTGTTCCTCATGGCTGTTGACTTCGTCATGCAAAAAGCTATGGATCATCCTGAATTTGGAATTCCATGGCGAGGATCCGAACGGCTGACGGACCTTGATTTTGCTGATGACATCGCCCTACTTGGAACAATAAGAAAGAACATAGAAGAAACGACAAAGAGACTGGAACAAGAAGCAGCCAAGATAGCGCTTCGCATAAGTACAACTAAAACTAAGGTTATGCGAGTCGGATACACCACCAAACATGCCCTTTTGAATATTGGACAACAACAAATTGAAGGTGTGCTTATTTAGCAGTATTGTCGTACCTACAGCAATCTATGCGGCGGAAACTTGGAAGATGTCTGCGAGAATGGCCCAAAGGCTTAATGTCTTCAAGCAGCGATGTCAGCGAAGAATTCTGGGTGTGTCGTACCGAGACCATATCAGCAATAATGAGATTTATCATCGAACTGACACTCGCCCATTCCAAGAAGTTGTCACCGAATGCCGACTAAGATTTGCTGGTCACATCTTACATCAGGAAACTTGCCGCCCAATGCACCGTACCGGTCCTAAGGCGGACCTAAGCTAAGCTAAGCTAATCCCAGGTATGTGTCGCCACATTCTCGGGTTATGAAGAATAAAGAAGCATTATTTTATTCGCTTCGTCAGAAACGGTGAATCTCTTTAAAAATGGGCTGTTGTTCCCACTACATTGCATTGTTATATTTCGTAAAACTTTTACCTGCCAACTGGCGACTGAAACTGTTACATATACTCGCCAACACTGATTTTTACTCGCATTTAGCGCTTGGCGAGTGTTAATTTTAGGCCCTGTATATATATATATATATATATCTATGTGTCGCGTGTTCCTTCCACCCCGTTACATTGGTGGAGAATGCAGGCAAGTGGTGGAGGATACACCAACAAGTGATCTCTGTCCATTCATCCTCTCTCTGTTTTCCCTCCCAGGCGGCTACTCCTCCCCACAGCATGGACGAAATTCTCCAACGGCTGGCGGAGGTCAGCATCCGCCAGCAGCAAATAGATGATGGCTGTCCTGTTACGGCCGCACCAACAGTATGCCGCTGCCTACCTGGATGACGTGGTGATCCACTCGGAGCGTTGGGAGGACCACCTAAACCGTCTGCGGGGGGTGCTACTGGAATTACGGAGGGCTGGACTCACCACCAACCCTCGCAAATGTAACCTAGCGCTCTTCAAGGGAAGTACCT